GAGAGAGAGAGAGAGAGAGCCCTTGACAAAATTGTGGTCACCCATGAGACTATCTTTTTCCTTGAGCTTTCATTTGAAACTCTTACATGTAGTAGTTCCTTATTTATGTGATCAAGCCCATACTATTGCTTCATTGAGGTATTGATTTTTCTTCGTATATTTTTAATTCCTATCTCATTTTTATTATCAAAACTTGTTGTAATTTTTAATTTACAGTAGCTTTCTTCACTTTTTGTCATGAAAACTTGATATTTAAATAGTCCCAAAGCAATAGTGTAGTCCTTACACATGGTATATGTAGACTAGCTTGCTTACTCTATGATCTTAAGTAGTTTTAACTTGCTTTTTTTATCTTATTTTTGTGGAATTTTTCTCGAGAATATACAACTGATGAGAGGTTTATTTCATCATATTTGAGCATATGAAATAGTCCCTTGAATTCTTTTTTGAATATTGAAACGTTCATGTGGTCCCTTATGGACCACATGGTGGTGTAGTTTCACCATAACTTCCTTATTTTGTAGTTTCCTTCTCAAACTTTGAAAGGGTTATTTTGATACATGTCTCTCTCATTATTTGGTCACCATAAAATGAAATAAAAGTGATCATTTGCTTCTTATTGGATTGATATCCTTGAGTTATTATTATTACCCTTGCCTTAGACAATGAGATAAAATTAAGTCATTAAAATGCCTTTCGTGGCCCGGGCACTAGGAGTTCGAACCATGGTTTCCCCATGTATGTTTGTATATTAATTTGATGTATTTACAGTTATTAAATGGATTCATGATTGGTTAAATTGAATATGTTGTGTGTATATTGAGATTGTTCTTTAATCTTGCTATATGAACTTTAATGCTATGCATTATTGTTTATACGAATTAAAATCTTATCGAATTATTATGATCTAGTGTATGATGTGTATGAGATATTATGATATATGATGAAGAAGAAAAATGAAGATGAAATTATCTTATATTTTTGATATAATGAGGAATTGAGAATACAAGTCATACAATATGTTGTAAAGATGTACATTGTGAATATTTGAATATTGTATTGAACTAATTGTATTTTTGAGTAAGGGATTTGTAAGGGACCTATTAGGGTTGAATTTTATTATTCAAATGTGTATAAATCATGTTTGTATGCTAGCATATATGTATTATGGTTTTGTATTGAGATACTCACGCATTTAAACCCTTGAGTTTTTATACAATGGAAATATTTTAAAAGATTGCATTTCTAGCCCATTGGTCTTATACCACCAATAAAAAATTGAGATAGTTTCTCTCTCTAAAAATTTGAAATAGTAGATCTTATTTCCATAATTTTGAGTTTCTTAATTTTAAGTATCCTAGTCATTAAACAATCCAAATGGTGGATTTTGACAATATCTAAGATATTAGGAATCTATGCCTTAAAATCTATGTACCCAAATTGGCTCTTAAAAGTTGTGATACAAAGGTTAATGATAGAATGAGTTATAAATAGTGAACTTATTAACTTTGTGATG